AAAGTAGGAGGTGATTTCTTTTTTTGGAGGTAGAGCTGATAAAACTTGCTAATGGGTTTGAAATGGAAATGAGAAAAAGAGAAGAATCAGAGATGCAGTCTAGATTTTTGGCCTGAGCGACTGGGTGGTATCATACTGAGAGGAGACTGGGGAAGGAGCATAATTGATGGGGTGTGATGAAAAATAAAGAATTTTGTTTGAGGCAGCGACAGTTACAGATGCAGCCTTATTGATGGGGTATGGTTAAAGAATAAAGAATTTTGTATGGGGCATGGGAAGTTTGAGATGCAAATGGATGTTTAAGAAGAGAAGCTGAAGAAGAACTTGGATATATGAGTCTGGAGCTCTGGGGAGAAGCCAGAGCTGAAGATGTAAAGTTAGGGGCCTTTACCATGTAGTAGATTTATATTTAAAGCCTTGGAAATGGCTGAATGTGGATGGAAAAGAGGACCCCTGATGATGCTCAAAGTTTTGTTTATTTGTTTATTTTCCTATTCTGGTTTGGCATATATATTTTTTTCATTCATACTTGGTATATACTTGCTACGATGTTAGTTTTATTAATAACATATCACTTATCTTTTTTAAAGGTATTTTGTGTGTTGACAGTTTTGACATCGTAGGTGATGGGGTTAAAGATTTACTTGTTGGAAGAGATGATGGAATGGTGGAAGTGTATAGTTTTGATAATACAAATGAGCCTGTTCTACGATTTGATCAGGTAAGTTCATTTTTTAAAAAGAGTATATGCTTGTTATTCATTAAATAATTATAGAGATGACTATGATAGTTTGTGTTTTAATAGGTGAAATGTATTCAAATTTTGTGTTTGACTTTGACAGTATTACTGCTTTGATATTATCAAACTCTTCTCTAGGCTACTCTTATGTGTGAGTAATAGACTGTTGCCCTCAGGCTAAATAATAAATCGCTTCTTCATTTCGTTTCTAAATATTGTATTTCCAAAGTATTAAATATTTTGCCTAAGTTTCTATAATACATAATAGACTACAGGAGTAACATTTATATGTTGGGGTAACATAAATGAGACTGTGTTGTTTTAAAGCAATAAGGTTTTAGGAATAAATTTCATATTGTAAGACAACATTAAAAATATTCTTAAGTGGAAAGGGAAAAGAGCAATTTCCTTCTAGCCACCCAAGGTCCACTGTAAATGAATAAATACTAGATAAGAGTAATTTTTAGTTCACATATTTTAAGTGTAATTAAGCTTGTTTATCCCCAGGTACAAAGTCACATGGAGAAGCAGTCTTGTATATATTGAATCTTCCATTTTTCGTAAAGTGGTATTCTCCAGTCCAGGGTTTCCCTATACTGCTTCATGTGTGATATATTGAGGCTGTTTAACAACAAGCCACAACTCAGTATCAACTTTTCTTTCTTTGTCTAATTTCTTAATTAGTGGTTCCTTCCAGTACCAACTTTTACTGAAGATCAGTAAATACAGATGTTTTGGTGCATAAAAATATTGTTATATTGATAATATGGGGATTAAAGACATTATACAATTTACTTCCTAGATTTATTTCATATTTGTTCAATTTACCTTGGTATAAAAAGTCACCTTGCTAATGATGCCAATAATAGTTTGGGCTTAAAAGTGTATAATAATCCTATGTTGATAATCTCCTGTTTTTTCTCATCGATCCCTGAGGAGGTTCCTGTTTAGACCCCACATCTCCTCTTTGACTTCCAGTCCAAACCTCAGTAATGACATAGCATGTCCCCTCCTCTGCTGGGTGAGACACTAAGAATTCCTATCTTCCCACTCTTCTGTTAGTATGATGATAGAGGTACCACTTTCAGGTTTTGTTAAGGCTTCAAATCTGCTGCCTCATCTTGATTCATCGTATCACTCTTTATAGTTTTCCTAATGAGGAGAAGTTCTCGTATCTGATACAGTCTGGACTGACAATTGGTTCACCAAAAATTTAAAGGGCAAATCATAAAAAGACAATAAATACCTACCTTAAACATCACATTTTAACTTAAACTTTTAAATATATATTCATTCACCAATATTTTGAGCAATGGCCAAGGCCTTTTTTTGGTGAATTCCCATAATTGGTATTCTGTGATATTACTTACGTGAACCATATCTGTACTAGATCGTCTAGGATCTCCTGTTTTATGCTTATATGACTGTTTTTTTAAAATATAAGTTGAATTAGTTAAATCTTTTACAAAATACTTTTGCAAAAAGGTACTTAAAGTACATAAGAAAAATGAATTTCATTAAAATGTTGCATTGGCAAAAAAAATAGAAGTTTTCTAATTTTTGTAACTTTTTCTGAGTACATTAGGCTAAATAAGATACTTCTAAGTGAGTAAAAGAGTAAAAGTTACAATAGTTACTTGATAAACCACTCAGAAACTGAGAATATGTGTGACTGTGTTGACTGGATAAAACATCCATCTGTAGTCAGACGGTTTCCAGTGTTTTGCTTTCAATAAATAGGAGGAGGACATAATCAGATGTCAGATGCTATATCATTAAAAACATTTTTGGTGGTAGATTTGGTGATTTTAGGTTATGACTTGGGAGATATTTAAACAATCAAGTGAACTTTCTACAACAAAATTTCTTTTATTTTCATCAACATCTTTATGGGACTAAGGTCGATTTGTGCTTGCATCTATGAAAATGAAAAATAGGAATTGAACTGACTCGCAATATATAATAATACTCACTTGTGATACATGAATAATTTGGAAGGGAAAAAAGTCCCACTCATCTCATGAGATGTATTTCCTATAGAATTTTGTTTTTGTGGTTAATTATTATTTACTAAAACTCTTGATCAATTGTGAAATACTAATAATTATAATGATAGAAATTTCTAATGCTTAGAGCTTTGTAGTCACAGAAGATTAAAAAAAATTCAGTTTGTTTTGTCTTGGTTGCAGAGAAGTGTAAAAGAATTTCAAGCATATGAGTGCATTACATTAAGATAAATGTATATGGGGGAAGTGGAATGAAAATAAAAGTTCAGGGAGAAAAAGGAGCAATATAAAATTTCCAACTGTTAAAGAATTTTTTTTCCATTTCCATCTGAAAAAGTTGGTTTTTCTCCATAGTAGCAAATTCCCTAAAGGTTCCATATAAGCTGTTATCTTTATTCTTCTGAAAAACTATTTGGAGAAAACACATGAGAGGTGGTCTGTGGAATTCAGATAATGAACTAAATGTACTGAGAGTTTTGCTTATGTAATTTTAAAAAAAAATGACTAGACTATGTAATTTTTTTAAAAATGACTAGTAGTTGACTACTGTAGCCAAGTGGTACACAGATGTACGAATCATTTTCAATCTTCTTTCACCGAATTAAAAAGCACTGGAATTTTCTGCCATTTGTGCAGGAGTTTTACCTTTCCAATATCAGTGTCTGCACATAATAAGTATTCGAAAAATATATGTTGAATCTTGGCAGACAGGAAAATAAGTTTTGTGGCTTATTTTAACATATCTGTGAAATTTTATTGATGACATACTTGATCTTAAATTTATTTTAGACATTGTCTGAAAGTGTCACATCTATCCAGGGTGGTTGTGTAGGGAAAGATGGCTATGATGAAATCGTGATGTCCACATATTCAGGTAAGGTAAATGGTAATTAAGGTACTTGAAGAAAGAATCAATAAGAAAAAATATAAATTTAATAATTGCTTTTGATGATTAGTTTTTAAAAGTTTATTATTAAGTCATTCCTACCTATAGCATTAAAAGCTTTATTGGTTAAAAAATGACAGTAGAAGTGGGTGTATTGATTTATATAACAGTTAATATTTGAATAATACTTTTTAAGAATGCATAGTATATCTCTAGTATCTTTGAAAATAGAATGATATCCTTTGGTTTAAAAAGAAGTATTTCCTGAAATCTGTGTTTTATTACTGTGTATATTTCTTACAAAAGCTTGCTTGCTTTTGAGTAAGTCATTTTTGTATTTCCACAATAGTTATGTGAGAGTTTCTTTCCATGAAAATAATTTTTGAAAGGCAATTATTATTCATCAGCTATTTTTTCATTTGCTAGAATATGTTGACTTATTCTATACTTGAAAACTAAAACTGTAAATTAAGAAGTGAAAGATTTTCTTTATCATAGTATTATATAGTATTTCAGACAAAACAAAAATAGTATCCAAAATGCTTAAGTAACTTTTTTGTGGTTTGAGTATCTTCCAGCTTGATTTCTTTTATGTTTTGTGTTTTGAAAAGGAGTAAGTCCAAGACTAAGTGAGCTGATGTTGGTGGACAAATGGGCATGTATATTAGGTTTCTTTTAACACTAGCAACACTTAATAGTGCACGACTGTAATTCCTCTCTGCAGGCTGGGTTACAGGTCTGACAACGGAGCCTATTCATAAGGAAAGTGGACCAGGAGAAGAACTAAAAATTAATCAGGAGATGCAGAATAAAATTTCTTCTTTACGGTAGTTTTGGATTTTTGTTTGATTTATTTTTGTCATTTCATGAAGTGTGTGATTGTTATTTTTTTCTTACTTATAGATGCAGTATATTTTACTGGAAGGAATTACACAATTAGTTTATCACCTTTTTAAGTGAAAATTAATCAGTTTGAGTAAATGAGCAGTAAGTGGTGATTAATGGTTTGGAGTTAGAATACACTTTTTGTATGTTTTATTCTATCTTGACTTTTTCTTAGAGCAAGAATTAATTTTTTCATTTGTTTATTACAGATGGTTGTAGTTTTTTTTTTCTTAGACATTAGAAAGAAACTAATACAGCTGGCTCTGTTCCTCATTAATTCTGATGTTCACTGCTCCTGTGAACCCTTCGGAATCTATGAACTTTTGCTTATAAGTATTCCTACTGGAGATGAGTAATGTTGACTCCCTTTGACGCAGGGATTGCTTTCATGGCCTGTTCAGTTTGACAAGTCCTGTGCAAAGGGACCCCAGCCTCTAGTAAAATTGCTTCATACAATGAAGAAATGGGAGTTGCTGAAACTTTTAATGACTGTTCTCCCTACTTCAGCCATTGCCAACCTCTTGGGGGAGTGAGAGCTGATCTTTTTTGGTGATAGTTGAAGGCTACAGAAGTTTTTAAGGCAGCAAAATGCCATAAGTACTAGTTCACTAAAGGTACACAAGAAGTTCACCACAAGCCAGTTCGCCAAAGCCACCAGGAGAGAAAGCTCTAATGTTCATGCAGGAAGGAATGCAAGTAGAGACATGACTACCACCTCACATCCTCAGTAAAATACCTCATATTCAGAACCAGGTCAGCGCCCTCGTTATTCCACTGGAATGCATGCTCAAGAGAAGCTTATGTCTGTTTTGTTCATTCAGCAACCAGATCATAGGTACATAGAGTCACTCAGTAAACATTTCTTAGGTGAATGAATCTTTTCCTTTGTTCATCACACAGATCCCTTTCAAGCTCCTTCCCAGGCTTTTCTCCCTAAGCTGTGGCTGGCTAAGCCTCATTTGTTCTACCTCAGTTACTATTTGCTTCATTTGCATAAGGCCTTTCCCCTTAACTGGATCAACCCTAAGCAATGTCTATACAGTTTAATCTCAGCAAAATCCTCTCCAACACTTGATAGAACTTCAGCTGTACCACTGGCTTGTGATTATCCTTCTGGTCCCCCAAATATTCATACTCTGCAGCCTCCTCATTTTGTCTTTCTCTAAAATGTCTTACTGAAAGGTACATGTTTACTGATGGCACACATTTTGTTTATTCTCATAAAATCTGATAGTTCCTCTTCCATACAGTCAGTTCTCTTCTGATTAGTACTATATGTAACTGTAACCAGATTTGTATGTTAGAACTGAGTATTTGCAGCCTGCCTTGATTCTTACAACTCTTTATTAATATTGCTGGTATGAGGCTGAGTAGATGTTTTAATTTTTAGATTAGAGATAATGAGAAATCATTTGATTAGTCATGCCAAAATTTTGTTACTATTAGTGTCATAGTTCTAACTCAATTAATAAAAATCCATTTTGCAGAAGTAAATGTCTCAAATTTTTGTAAACATTCTAAGGATGTCAAATGTTTATACTTATAGGTGACAAAATTGTGCATATTTTCTTTTAGGAGTGAGTTGGAACATCTGCAATATAAGGTACTACAGGAAAGAGAGAAATATCAACAGTCTTCTCACTCAAGCAAAGCAAAATCAGCAGTACCTTCATTTAGTGTCAATGACAAGTTTACATTAAATAAAGATGATGCGAGTTACAGCCTTATTTTAGAGGTGCAGACAGCAATAGATAATGTCTTAATACAGGTAAGCAAAATGTCTAATTTCTTTGTTTTATGACTGGATCTATTTTGCTTACCAGTCATATACATTAATTATTATTGAAACACTTTTAGTTTTAGATCATGATTTTGGGTGTTTATCTTAATCTTCCATTAGATAATCAGTTTGCACATAGATTATTTACATTGTAGCTTTACTTTTTATTTATCCTATATGTACTAAACAAAAGACTAATGGACTTAAGTTTCAGGAAGACTCAAAAAGGACATTAAGGATTTTGTTCTTTGGTTAACCTTTAGGGGAATCTTAACAGAGATGTAACTTGGAAAACTCCAGTATTTATTATCCTTATTTGAACCCATTTTTCAGCTCAAAATACTAAAATAATAGCTTACAGTACAGCTTGCTTATTAATCATCAGTTTCTAGGAAGGTCAGTAGGTAAAGCAGATAATATCAAATGCTAAAATTTAGGGATAATAATGTATAAAATCATTTGTCAATATATTTAATTAATTTTTCTTTAAATAGAAGAGATTCAGGGAGTGGAAAAGGATAATAGTAGGATGAATGAAAGGCAAGCAAGATGGAAAACTCATCAGAAAATGAGAAAAGAATAAAGAGGAAGATGAAGACGAAGTTTTAAAAGATGTGAGGGAGAGATCAGATTATTAATTAAAACTTAAAGGCAGAAATTTCTCTTAAGTAATTCTATCTCAAGAACTGCTGCATCAAACAATTCTAGGAGCACATAACACATTGTCCTAGAAACTACCTCTCCAGGGGAGACAAAAATTGTCCCCTTTTTGTGTTACAGGTGAAATTAAAAATGATAAAAATGAACTGACATAATTGGAATAGTCGTGTGATTATTTGCAGTCTATGGTAACATTTTTAGCGCTGACAAGAATAGGTAGGAAGATTATACTTTTAAGAGGAAGGTGAGAGATGAAATTCTATGATCTCTGATTAATCCAAATTAAAAAAAATGGGTCACTATAGTACAACATTTATTCTTTATTATTTTCATTTTCTAGAAGTACATATTAAAATACGTGTTGTGAAAATTTTTAGTTTACTAATTGAACCTTTTTTTCTTTTTTAATACTGACTGCAGAGCGATGTTCCAATAGATTTACTTGATGTAGATAAGAATTCTGCTGTTGTCAGCTTTAGCAACTGTGATTCTGAGGTGAGTAAAAAATGTTAAGAATTCTTCATGTGCTTTCATTCTGTTATGCCATTTTGTATAAAGCCTATAAATGCTACTGGGGTTTGATGTTTCTTCTTCAATATTTTCATAACCTTCCCTCAAAATCTACTTCCTTTCTTCCTATCCTCAGATAATTCAGAAACTGGAGTGTTGTCCTAAATTCCTTCTTTTCTCTCATCTGTTAAATCCAATTACAGTAATTCCCCCTATCTGCTGGAGATATGTTTCAAGACCCTCAGTGGATGCCTGAAATCACAGATAGTAGTGACCCCTGTATAATATTGTTTCTTCCAGCATCAGTGTTCTTGTGCTTTGGGGCCATTGTAAAGTAAAACATGAGTGACATGAACATAAGCATTGTGACACCGTGACAGTGGATCTGATAACAGATGGCTACTAAGTGACTAATGGGAAGGTAGCATATCCAGTGTGGACACACTGGACAAAGGGGTGACTTATGTCTCAGGCAGGATGGACTGGGATGGCGCCACATCTCTTCACACTACTCAGGGCGATGTGCAATATAAAATTTATGAATTGTTTATTTCTGGAATTTTTCACTTAATATTTTCAAACCACAGTTGACCATGGGTAACTGAAACC